ATTTAAGGTTACCGGCTGCTGTGGTCGGGGACGCGGAACTATAGTCGCTTCAATGAAAGTGCAAGAAGTCGGACTTTTGCCAGGTTGCTTTCCATTTACATTGTATATAACTCTTTGGCTAGCTGCTTAAGAGAGAGGTTTTTTTCAAATTTCTTGACTTGTAAAAACATTTTTGCTCGTAAAATTGGCAAGCCATTGACACTTCTAATTGGTATGTAGATGTGCCTGCACCAAGAACGAGTTCGGACTAAGCTAGTCAATTTTTCCCAATTTTCTGATAAAGAAGCATTTTAGGAGAGACCACTAGGATTACTTTGACTGTTGAGGATCGCACGCGCAAGAAACGATGGCAGCGCAAAAAGGTAAGCAGAAAGTCCTCGTGATTACCATTAGTTGTCCTAATACTAAGCATTGTAGCGAGACCAATATACGCAAGATCTTGTCACTTTTGCTTTCTTGTTAGATGTTCTCATATCCTATTTTATTGTAGGGGCAGCATGAATGTGTACTGATATCGCTCTGTCAACAGCTTGATTTTGTCTCTACAAACCGATACGAAACTGAGTTGATGGATAGGAAGAGTGTGACCATAGCTGTAGAATCTCATGTGAGTGCTTTGGTACTCCTACAAAATTTCGCAAGGTCCCAGTGGCAGCCACATTCATGTTTAGGGAACGTGCAAGGCCAGTCCCGGATCCGGTCCAGAGACGAAAGAAATAGAATTTTCTGTGCCTTCAGATTTGCCTCCAACATCAATCCATGCTGATCGACTTGTAACAATTAGTTACTTTTTTAAGCTGGATCTCGAACATTTCGATATTGTTGTTCCTGTGATTATTGGCACATCGAAAACGCCTGGGAAAATTGACTGACCAGCGCATATGCACATATTTGCGTGTGTATACAGAAAAAAGAGTACAAAAAAGCAATAATGTCCAGGGTAAGTTGTCTCCATCCAAGTTTTGCTGAACTCTTCTCAGTGCAGCTTCACAGATGTAAAGCTGAGTGAGGCCCCCATACCAAGTTTTGTGTAACTTCTACCAACATTGTCATGGTACGATGTCTGTCCTCTATCAATTTCTTCTTTAGTCTCTGAATCAATCGAAGGTATGCTTGCTGAGCTGCAGACGTGCAATCTGATGCCATTAAGTCTGCGATCCAAACAAACTTCAATTGTAGCTATAGCGATAAATAGACATGCTAAGTAGAGTGCAACTTGCCTACTTGCCTTCTCCCTTATTCCTGAATACCGGAACGCATTTTTGAGGAGCGGAAATGGTCGGGTCTGAAGTCTGACAGTCAAAAATTTTGATTTTCAAACCCTTTAGAACAGCATCCATAAATTCAGCGCATTTCCCTCTCATGCATTTAAAAATTCATTAATCAGGTAAGCACTAATTGTTGGATCTTCTCACATATTTTTCTTCTTATTGCGGAGTAAAGGAATAATCATCAATGGGAGGGCTGGTCAGCCTCCACATCCGTAGTCGCAGCCTGCGAATGGGGTTCGCGTGAACTTTTCTGATCGATGTCATTATTCCTTTTACTGTGACTGCCCCGGATTTATGTGTCTACAGGATAAGTAGCCAATTATTCAGTAATATGGGTATTTTTTATTTATCATCATGTGTCCTCGATCGTGTTTATTCTTCGCACTATCTCGGTGTACTGCCTGTGTTGACATATAGGAATTGTGTGTATTTGACGTATAAATGTCTAGAAAATTACATTGGACGCTTTCTTAGAGGATATATAATAGCAGCCACGTTTCTGCAACAAATACGCTCTTCTATGCGCCGTACTGGAGCGCAGCAACAAAATCATTTGGTAGATTATATATGAGCTTCCTAGCTCAAAGTCACGCCTTCGGTAACGATCACTCTTGTCTATTTTTGAGACGGACATGTGATTCCATAGTAAGCCCCTGAAAGTTGCCACAAGTAAAGAAAGCGCGTTCTTTGCCTCTGATAAAGTCACATGCGGCACAAATGAAGTGCATAAGAGCTCCAGGGCAAGGGTCTCAGAGGTATACAATCCTCATGTTTAATGAATATAAGATACTGAAGAGTCATCGAATGAAAAAAGACGCACAAATACAGGGTGTCCGAAAAAAGTGCCTACTGTTTGACTGTTAGTAACTCTCTCATGGTGATGTTTTTCGAGAAGCTTCAGGTACAGTTCTGTAGAGCTGGCTTCAACTTAGATTCAAATTACAGACCGTCTCTCTTCATTACTGTAGGACTACGGTAGAAACTTCAAACATATGGTGTAACTGCGAAAAAAGCTGCGTTTCGAAACTTTTCAAAATATGTGAAAATTTGTGTAATAGGGTTTTCATAGACATGAGTTCGATACTCAACTATGTACAAGAATGCGAA